TAAGTAGAGTGTTTCTATACTAGACTTTTCTGTCAGAATGGTCAGTCCTGCAGGACTTTGGCTTATTGTAACAGTGCACGCTAGCTGCCACTTTTATATCCCATTCCTGGGTCTTCCTCCGAACATCACCTGTGGTCTGTGTGTCAGTATTTCATTTTGAACACTCTCCTTCAAAACCCCTTCAGCCCATGCAACACAGATATGCTGTTTTCCTGCCATTTGCTCTTAAGTGCTCATTGTCCTGGGAGTCACTGGTACTGACCTGGGCACACATGATGTTTAACACATACATCATTAATGCTAGCCAAGAAATGTCCAAGACACTCAAAATGCATGCAGCAGACAGCTAGTGTTTGAGATGTTTTCCCTGAAGGAAAACCCCCTGGCAGCCATGGTAGCTGCTGACTACTTTGGTTTAGACTATTTATTAACCAGCCAGGGAGAGTTCTGTTCCCTAAAAGGGCTGCTCGCTGCATGTGTGCAGGCTGCACTGGCAGGGTGCCTCCAAGAGCACAACAGATGAGACAGCAAATTAATAACATTACTAAAATAATTGTATTTTTTTTTTCTTTTTTTGGAACCATACTGACACATTTTCTTGGATCTGCAACACCCAGGGATGACTGGACTCATTTGGGTCTTTTTGAGGCCTTGTCATCTGAATTATAATATATTGCTTGTGCTTTTCACATGGCTTTTAAATTAATATTCAAATTCACCTAAAGTAGATGAGGCATCCAAACCGCAGGAGGGGACTTTAATAAAGATGCTGACCTCTGTTTTCAGCTTTGACCCTTTATCAGCTTTGGATTACTGCTCACCGTGTCTGGCCCACGGTGGGTAGAGAAGTGGCCACGTTGACACACGCCTCTTTTTGTCTGTCAGTGGGTAGGAGGGTCAGACCTTGAAATCTTTTGCAGCCTTTAACCCTACATGTCTCAGAGTCAACCAATTCTTTGCGGAAGCCACTTGCAACTTGCCCTACTCTCTTTTGAAATTACCTTTGGGTGATATTCATTTTGCTATTCACTTGATGCCTGTGGTGACATAGTCTTGACATTCAATCCCATTTTAGCTAAGGTGTTAATCCTGCCCCCACGAGGGCAATGATAAAACAGAAGGTAACCAATGGAAAATGTCTTTGGGGTGAAAAACAGCTGTGCAGCATAGGGAATTTTGAAAAGATGAGGATAAGAAATCCAAATGCAGTGATACCATTATAATGTTTCCAGATGCATTGGTCACAAAAGAAAAACTTTGAAACCACTCACATGGTCACTAGTTGTAGAATCAATAATTGGAAATGGTATAGTCTCCCATGGTAAAAATACAGAGCAACAGAAGTGAAGGGATGGTTTCTGTTCCAATATCTGAAGAACTTGTAGTCATGCTGGTCTTCAGTGAATAAAAAATGCTGGACAAACGGAAAATTAACACCTCTTAGATCCCTGAGAGATTTCAGGTTACATGGCAAACCAGTGCCCCCAGAACAAACTGGAGAATATGGAGAATTAGCACTTTGCTAAAGCCAGCAACCTCTAGGAACACACAAACTGTTAGAGATGAATTGCTGGAGACACAGTATAGACCAGCTTGAGAGTTAAGAGCTGTAAGGGGGATCCCTCCACATTTCATGAATTTTTCTTGCAGGAGCCCAAACAGGTTTTCCTAGTGAAGATCAAAACAAATTGCTTCTTGCTTCTTGCAGGAAATGAGGAAAAACATTTTAATTATACACACAAAGCATTCTATTTTCTGTAACTTAGGCCCTCCCTCAAAGAAAATTAATTTGCCAAAGCCTTATCTGATTGGGCAAAGAGCAATTAGGCCAATCCTACAGCCCACAGGTTTCCTCTCTTGCAGAAAGGGAGAAATAAATGCTAAGAACCTGTTCTGAAGTTCATCGCCCAGGGATTGAGTTCCTCCAAAACAGTACAGGTTTAGTTATAACATAATAGAACATTTTCTCACTCAAATACCTTCCCACCATAACAGCTCCAGTATAAAAACAGTGGGTTAAAACACAGAGCTGCAAGACACAGACTCTACTTAAGGTTGAGTTTCTAGGGAAACCCAAACACTAGAGGATATTGAAGCCCCTGACACAGCTATGGCAAACATTGAACATAGTCTAATGCCTATTAAAAAAACAACAACAGTAAAATGCTATTTATCTCAAATATTGTGAAAATTAACAAGTACGTGGAAATTAAACAACAGTCTTGGACAACCAGTGAGTCAAAGACAAAATCAAAAGGGAATTTAAAAAATATATTGAGAGAAAGTGAAAATACAACTTACCAAAATGTATGGGATGCAGCATAAGGAGTACTAAAAGGGAAATTTATAGTGATAAACACCTATTTCAAGAAAAAAGATGTCAAGTTACCAATCTAAATTTACACCTCAAGGAACCAGAAAAGGAACAACAAACTAAACTCAAGTTAGCAAAGGTTAGGAAATATTAGAGCAGAAATAGAGAATAGAAAAACAATAGAAAAAAGTCAAAACTAAGTGTTGGTGTTTTTAAAGAATAAAACCTACAAACCCTTAGACTAACTACAAAAAGAAGAGAGAAGATTCAAATACATAAAATCAGAAATGAAATAGGAGGCATTACATTGGATGCCTTAGAAATAAATAGGATCAAAGAGGAGTATTATGAACATTTACATATGAAAAACTGGATAACCAAGAAGAAATGGATGTATTCCTATAAACAACCAACCTACCAAGAAAGAATTTTTTTAAATAGCCTGAACAGACCAATAACAGGTAATAACAAATTCACAGAATGAATACCAATCCCTTTTTAAACTCTTCCAAAAACTAGAAGTAGAAGGGATACTTCCAAATTCACTTTATGAAGTCAGCATCTTCCTGATACCAAAGCCACAGACACCATAAGAAAAGAAAACTAGGGGGCTGGCCCCGTGGCCAAGCGGTTAAGTTCGTGCACTCTGCTGCAGGCGGCCCAGTGTTTCGTTGGTTCGAGTCCTGGGCGTGGACATGGCACTGCTCATCAAACCACGCTGAGGTGGCATCCTACATACCACAACTAGAAGGACCCACAATGAAGAATATACAACTGTGTACTGGGGGGCTTTGGGGAGAAAAAGGAAAAAATAAAATCTTTAAAAAAAAAAAAAAGAAAAGAAAACTAGAAGCCAATGTATCTAAAGAACATAAATGCAAAAATGGTCAATAAAATACTAGCACACTGAGTTCCACAGTACATCAATAAGATTATACACCACGGTCAAGCGGGATTCATCCCTGGGATGCAAGATTCTTTTTTTTTTAATGAAATAAGCCAGTTATTTTATTTATTTTTCTTCTCCCCAAAGCCCCCCGGTACATAGTTGTATATGTTCTAGTTGTAGGTCCTTTTAGTTCTGCTATGTGGGACTCTGCCTCAGCACAGCTTGAGTGGTGCTAGGTCCGTGCCCAGGATCCAAACCAGTGAAACCCTGGGCCCCTGAAGTGGAGCATGTGAACTTGACCACTCAGCCACGGGGCCGCCCCCTCCCTGGGATGTAAGATTCTTTTAACATATCAGTCAATGTGAAGTGTCAATCAATATGATAACACCACATTCTGTGGTAGGTCACAGAATGGAAGATGAAAACCACATCATCATCTAAATGGGTGAACAAAAAGCATTTGACAAAGTTCAACATGCATACATGGTAGAAACTCAACCAAATAGATATATAAAAGTGATTATAGGTATAAAAGAGAGAATTTCCTCAACACAGTAAAGGTCACTTATGAAAAGCCAACTGCTAACGTCATAATCAATGGAGAAACGCTGAATTCTTTTAGTCCATGATCATGTACAACGCAAGGAAGGTTGCCCTTACCACTTCCTGGAAGTACTAGTAAGAGCAATCAGACAAGAAAAAGAAATAAAAGGCATCAAAATCAGAAAGGTAAAATTATATGTTTGCAGATGACATGATCCTAAAGACTCCACACACAAAAAAAAATGTGTTAGAACTAATAAATTCAGTAAAGTTGCAGGATACAAAATCAAGAGACAAAACTCAGTTGTATTTCTTTACACCAACAATGATCTATCCAAAAAAGAAATCAAGAAAACAGCCCTCTTTACAATGGCATAAAAAAGAATTAAATACTTAAGAATCAGTTGGACCAAGAAGGTGAAAGATCTGCACACTGAAAAGTATAAAAATATTGATGGATGAAAGAAACTGAAGAAGACACAAATAAGTTGAAGGATACTTTGTGTTCATGGACTGGAAGAAATTATATTGGTAAAATGTCCATACTACCCAGAGCAATGTACAAATTCAGCTCAAGCTATCAAAATCTCAGTGGCAGTGGGGCCAGCCCCATGGTGTATGGTTAAGTTCGGGGTGCTCTGTTTCCATGGCCTGGGTTGGCAAGTTCGGATCCCAGGCATGGACCTACACCACTTTGTCAGCCATGCTGTGGCGGCAATCCACATATAAAGTGGAGGAAGATTGGCACAGATGTTAGGTCAGGGCTAATCTCCCTCAGCAATAGTAATAATAATAATCATCATCATCATCCCAATGGCATTTTTCACAGAAATAGGAAAACAATCCTAAAATGTATATGGAGCCATAAAGTACCCCCAAACGACCAAAACAATCTTGAAAAAGAAGTACAAAGCTAGAGACATAACATGTCACGATTTCAGGTCATACTAGAATGCTACAGTAACCCAAACAGTGTGGTACTGGCATAAAAACAGACACATAGATCAATGGAACAGAATAGGGAACCTAGAAATAAACCCAAGCATATATAGTCAACTAATTTTTTTACAAGACCACGAAGAATCCACAATGGGGGAAGGATAATCTCTTCGATGGTGTTGGGAAAACTGGATATCTACAGGCAAGAGAATGAAAATAGACCCTCATCTTACACCATACACAAAAATCACTCGAGATAAAGACTTAAGTACAACCCCTGAAACTGTAAAACTCATGGGAGAAAGCATAGTGAAAATGCTCCTTGACATCGGCCTTGGCAATGAACTTTTGGAGGTAACACGAGAGGAACAATCATTGAAAGTAAACATAAACTAGTGGAACCACATCAAACTAAAAGGCTTCTGCACGGCAAAGGAAACAACAAAATGAAGACAACCTACAGACTGCGAGAAAATATTTTAACCACATATCTCCTAAAGGGTTAATATCTGGATATATAAAGAACTCACACAACTCAAAAGTAGCAAAAACCCAATTAGAAAATGGGTAAAGGGCCTGAATAGACATTTTTCCAAAGAAGTATATACAAATAGCAGACAGGTGTATGAAAAGGTGCTCAACATCACTATCATCATGGGAATGCAAGTCAAAATCACAATGCCTGTTAGGATGGCCGTTATCAAAAAGTAGAACAAGTGTTGGCAAGGATGTGAAGGAAAGGGAACACTTGTACTCTGCTGGTGGGAATGTATATGGCACAGCCGTTATGGCAAACAGTATGGAGGTTCCTCAAAAAGCTAAAAATAGAACTACCATGGGATCCAGCAACCCCTCTTCTGGTTATAGACCCGAAGGATATGAATTCTGTAAGAGCAATCTGCACTCCCGTGGTCACTGCATAATTATTCACAGCAGCCAGGCTATGCATACCGCCTAAGTGTGTATTGACAGATGAAGGGATAAAGAAATTGGGGTATGTATCCATATTCAGCCTGAACCAAGGAGATCCTGCCATTTGAAACAACATGGCTGAACTTGCAGGACATTATGCTAAGTGAAATAAGCCAGACAGGAAAAAAGTGCGTGATCCCACTTATATGTCACTGTGAAAAAGTCACTACATAGAAGCAGAGAGTAGAATTAGCAGTTGTCAGTTGACGGGAGGTGGGGGATGTGGGGAGATAGTCAAAATGTGCAAGGTTGCAGCTATGTAGGATGAACAAGTCTAGAGATCTATTTATATAGTGTGATGACTATATTTAACAATACTCTGTTAAATACTGTGTGTGTGTGTTTGTGTGTGTGTGAGGAAGGTTGGCCCCGAGCTAACATCTGTTGCCAATCTTCCTCTTTTTTTTCCTTCCCCAAAGGCCCAGTACATAGTTGTATATCCTAGTTGTAAGTCTTTCTAGTTCTTCTATGTGGGACGCCACCACAGCATGGCCCAGTGAGCGGTATGTAGGTCCATGCCTAGGATCCGAGCTGGCGAAACCCTGGGCCATCAAAGCGGAGCGCATGAACCCAACCACCATGCCACTGGGCCAGCTCCTCTATTAAGTACTTTTAATTTTCTAAGAGTAAATTTCAGATGCTCTTATCACAAAAAAAGGTAACTGTGAGATGATATGTTAAGTTAGTTGATGTGGTAATTTCACTACGTATATGTATATCAAATCATGTACACCTAAAATATAGACAATTTTTATGAAAAATATATAAATTAATGGGTAGTAGCGCTATAGAGAACATCTACAAAATTTTGGAGTGCTCACCCCTGGGGATAGGAGGGTGGAGCACCACAGACACTCTGAACTGCCAAAGCTGTACTCATTACTGTTGGTGTCACATCTACAGAATTTTATGCAATTACTATTTAAACATAAAATGTTTTATGCATCTTTTGTAAGTATGATATACTTCGCTTGAGAAATATACAGAATTATTTAACTATGAAAAAGGTATTTTTGCCAAATATTTATTGTGCAATATTTTCTAACCACCTCCCCACTTGGGTTTCACAGACTTGGCTCAGTAAGGATGTTCCAGTTTTTTTTTAATGGGTTTATTGATATTTACCTTGATATTCATTTGACCAACAAATGAGTAACCAAAGACTGGGAACATGTTCAGTGTCTATTTAGAGAGAACTGGTTACATAAATTTGTATCATCTTATGCTTCTCCATAAAAATTCTGGAAGCCACCTATTGACATGAAAAAAAGCTGAGGATTTATTATTTTTTTCTTCTCCCTAAAGCCCCCCAGTACATAGTTGTATATTTTAGTTGTAGGTCTTTCTGGTTGTGCTGTGTGGGATGCCAGCTCAACATGGCTTGATGAGTGGTGCCATGTTCGCACCCAGGTTCCGAACCAGTGAAACCCTGGGCCACTGAAGCAGACCACGTGAACTTAACCACTTGGCCATGGGAGGATTTTTTTTTTTTTTAAGATTTTATTTTTTTCCTTTTTCTCCCCAAAGCCCCCCGGTACATAGTTGTATATTCTTCGTTGTGGGTCCTTCTAGTTGTGGTATGTGGGATGCCGCCTCAGCGTGGTTTGATGAGTAGTGCCATGTCCGCGCCCAGGATTCGAACCAACGAAACACTGGGCCGCCTGCAGCGGAATGTGCAAACTTAGCCACTCGGCCACAGGGCCAGCCCCTGGAGGATTTATTATTTAATGAACCAAAAAGCACAGCATTACACTTTGTGTAACTCATGTTACCTTTGTATATTAAAGGGAAAAAATATGTAAATTGCTTGTTTTTATATAAATACTGAAAAGACTAACAAGGAACTAATAAAATCACGTTCAGGAGCTTGAGCAAGCACACACAAATCCTAGACAACATCCAGGCAGTGTGTCTTCCAGCCAAACTCTAAAACTCAAGCTGAGTTTTTGAAACTTGACGTTCACTATAAACAATTAACGATAAATGAAAAAAAGTGTGTTATCTATATTTTCGTTTTAATAGTTTATAAATCAATAGCTATTTTTAATGGACAGTCGCTTCTCTCTCTGTTAATCCTCTAGACAGTATTTATCGTGAAGTGTACAATCTGGTTTCGTAAACCCTCAAGGATTAATTTTTTTCAATTGTGTTTGTATGGAAAATGACAAATGATGTCACAGCTTGTAGGGCCATGATATTTTAAACTGCAGAGCACTTTCTGAGATGGGGAGCATTTTAAATGCACCCGGCTTTCACTCTAGTGTGAGTAGCTCCCTCTGACACACTCTCCAGGGAAAGTTGTGAAAATTATTTTAAACACCATCATATAAAGTGTCTGGAAGTGGCTGTAAAGGTAAGCAGAAAATGAGGAACATCAATTCAAGGGATCCCTAAGAAAATTCTATGGAAAAGTATGAGTCTGTGATGTTTAAATCCTGAATGGTCCCCTCCCTCCCCCGTCTCAGCTCAGCTAGGTGGACACCACTCCAGAGTGCAGTGGCCAAGAAAACAGCTTTCTGTTCCTCCAGCTTCCTTTTGGAGGGCTTTTTTTCTAGGAAGAACAGGACGTCATCATTTCTCATCCTGCCTCTGGCTACTTATTACATGAGGTTACAGTGCACGTGGGTATGCTTGAGAGCGGGGGCATGCTTCTTGCTCCAGCCCCTACCCAACTACCATGGGCACGGTGGGCTGAGAATCCTGGGACCCTGGGCAGCCTTGCCTCAGCTCATAAATTGGTATTTTCATGTGTAGAGATTAATAAACAGGAACTTCATTAAATTGGAGTTGGGAGGCCAGAAGGGGGCGCTCTCGTGCCCTACGTCAGCAGCAGAGCCCAACAGGAAGAAGAAAGACTTCCTCCTCGTGGCCAGCAGGAAGCTCAGCCAATGGGAGACGGTCATGACTCAGCCAATGAAAAGCCACTACACCTCTAACTCTGTTTGCCATAGCCCTCCAACTTCCTGCTCCCCTCTAGAAAACTTTCTCCCCCCTTTGCTTCTGGGGACATGCACCTGGCTCACTGTGGTTGCAGATGCCAAGTTGCAAATCTTTGCTGATCCCAGATAAATCCATTTTTGCAGAAGTTAACTGGCTATCTATTTGTTTAAGATCAACATTGTGGTGGCCCTTACGGGGGTTCAAGAGAAGACCCTGGATGACTCTGAGGCTGGTGAGAAAACAGGTGTGGTACCCACAACAGAGACCACTGAGCTCACTCTTTTCTTGCCAACTCTCGAGTTTGAGCATCAGTTCTTCTCCGCGATGTGAGCTTCTGCTCTTTTTGCATTGATGCTTTCCAGGCTTTGAGATCTGTTCTAGGGCTCCATCTTTTTTTGGTAAAGGCCTTGTTTGCGAGTACGTGGGTGGCACTTTGGCCTGGCTCTTTGAATCAGGTTTTTCCTTAGAACTGTGCCAGCCTTCGGTCTACTTCCTTTCAGAACTGGACCTTTTCCACTGGAACCACGCTAGCTTTGGAACTGCCATTGGAACTGTATTGGTCCAGCCTTCAGCCTGTCTCCCTTTGGATCTAGACTGTTCCTTTGGACCTGTGATATTCAACCTTTGGTCTACCTTACTGAAGTAGACTGTTCTATTGGAATCGGGTGGTAGTAAGCCTGCAGGGTCTTTGAGCTGTTCAGGCCATCTGACCTCTCTTGGCTGTTTGAGAATTATTCCATTGCTCTTGAAAAAGACCTCTAAGGAATAGGATCCCAGTTATCTGAATATTTTGAGGACGCCCCCCACAGGGAACACAGCCGATTTTATGTTTAAAAACTGAAGTCATTCCTCATGCACATTATCTAAATGGACCAATTTAACCAAAAGTCTTTTAGAATATCAATGGCCATTATGGGGAACTTTTGATCTCCCCAAACTTACTTAAAACCGAGTTGGCCAACCATGGCTCTGTAATTTCCCAAATCAAATGGCATGCCTATTTTGATTGGTATTTTGAGGTTCCCAATGTTACCAAGAGCCTAAAATTGCCTCTTTGCAAGATAACATTTTAAGGTTAACTGGGGCAAACAAATGATGAAAGAAAGAGGAAACGGCTTCGGAAGCTTCCCGGTCCACTTCCCTGGCTTCTTGGTCTCAGGCTTGGCCTCCGGCGCCATCGTGTTCCTTTCCCCCTCTCCTCTTGCTCACTCCCCACCTCTAGTGCCATCTTCCTCCTTCCTTTTACACTGTCTACACCTCCTCCAGACCCTCAGTTTCCCCATAGTAACTCTCATTAAACTTCCCCTTTTCCCTGCATCTCTCCCCACTCCCTCTTACTCTGAACCTATCAGAACCTGTCCCTTTAAAGCCTTCTGAGGACCCAAGGGCTAGACCCTTCATTTCTTATATTCCCTGGACTAAAGCTGAACTATGGGCCACAGTCCGAGATTCTCCCAAAGTAACCAAAGGTCCTCACAGATTTGCTGAGGCATTTAATATTGTCTTGCACAGTTAGTCTGGTTTCTCTGACCTGTATCAGCTAGTTCCCATGCTTGTCGGTGAGGTTCGGGCCAAGTACTGGATGAAATCTGCTAATTGGGGAAAATCCTGAAAGGTCTCTAGAATTATAACCAGCAGACCAACCTGCTGACCTGTTGTATGATCGGGCTCAGGCAATCGCTAGATGACTTTATCAAGCAATTCCTAGGGCTGTCCCAAAGCCTGCTGGTTGGGAAAAAATTCAGCTTGTGCACAAAAACCTGAAGAACGTGGTCGTGACTATTAACAGTCAGCTTCAGATTGTTTTTAAAGGAAATTCTGGTCTTCCTCCAGATGTTGATTCCACCCAGGTAGCTTTTAACTCTGTTTATTAATGGGCTGAACCAGGACCTCTCCCTTTTAGTAAAAAGGACCAGGATGGAACGGGAAACTGTCTCCTCCAGATTTAGTTAATCTGGCAAACGAGCTCCCTCACACTCTAGATGAGTCACCTAAAGGAAAGACTTAAAATTCTTAATCTGCAACTCCAGCAAATGAAGGCCCGTAAATGAAATTAAAAACCTCCAAGTTTCTATTCTCATTGCAAAGAGTCAGGACATTGGAAAAGAGACTGTTACAAATGTAAGCACTTCAGACACCTTCGGCTCTCTAACCAGCCCTTCCAATGTCCTCCAAATCCCCAATGATGGGGCTCCGAGGACCTCAGGGGCTCTTCCCGGTCCTCCCTCTTAATCCGTTTGGAGAAGCATTTCTCAGATTGGGGATGAATCTCCTTCTGTCCCAATTGACACCGGAGCCACACTCTCAGTGCTCAACCCCACTGCTATGAAGCAGGCCCTGCCTCAGAGAACTAACACAGTTCAAATAGTGGGGATTTCTAATAAAGCTCCATAGGTTCCTGTCTCTGAACCTACCTCCTTGTGTTTGGGCCTGTGAGAGACACAGCCTTTTCTCCTTAGTTCCTCTGCCCCTATTCATTTATGAGGCCAACACTCCTTGGAAAAGTATTATGCTGGAATTTCTTTCTCCCAAAAGGGGGAAAGAATTCTAGAATTTGACCCTAGCCATCAAAACAGTCAACCAGGTGAATTAAATGAACTTTGACATCTTTTATTTGCTCCATCTCTGATGATACTAGAGCTGATTCTGGAAACACTGATCATTTGTCCCTGTTGAATCACCTACCACCCTCCTTATGGGCAAAATCTCCAACTGATTGGTAAAATTCACAGCACACTTCCCATCAAGATTTGTATCGATCCCTCAAAACCTCTCCTCAGAATTAATCAATACCCTATAAGAAAAGAAGCCCTTCGAGGTATAAAGCCTATAATAGAGGATCACAAGGCGCAAGGCCTCCTTGTCCCTTGTACTAGTCCCTGTAATACTCCTATTTCACCTGTGAGGAAACCTAGGGTCGAGGGTGGCGGTTTGTCCAGGACCCCTGAGCAATAAACAACACTGTCTTCCCTTGACACCCTGTTGTTCCTGACCCTCATGCACTCCGAACATCCACTCCCACTGGAAGCAAATTCTTCCCTGTAGCTGATTTAGGCAGTGCATTCCTCAGTATTCCAGTTGGTGAAGCTAGCCAACACCTTTTTACCTTCACTTGGGAAGGAAAACAATTTGCCTGGACAAGAATGCCTCAGGGTGTTGCTGGGAGCCCCGACTTCTCAGCAGTCCTGAAGGCTGACCTGGATGATAGAAAGGCCCCTAGGGCTCTACTCTGTCACAATATGTGGGTGATTTGCTTCTTTGCTTTCTCCTCCAAGTCTCCGCACAGGAAGACAGCCTCCACTTACTAAAGCTTGTCGCCTTAAAGGAACGTAAGGTCGCCAAGGAGAAACTGCAGTTTGCTCAGACCCAGGTTTGATATTTAGGGCATCTGATATCAGGAAGGGCTACACCTCAGTCCAGATAGGCTTCATGGTATCCTAAGTTGCACAAAACCCAAAACTGAGTGCCAACTGTCAGGTTTTCTTGGGTTAATTGGTTCCTGCCAAAATTGTTTCCAAATTCCTCTCTTATGGCCAAACCTCTGTATGTTGTATTAAAGAACAGCCTCCACTCAGTTTTATGGGAAGAACTAGACAACGTAGGTGTTGAGGCCTTGAAGACGAATTTGATGAACTCATCTGCCCTTGAACATCCCAATTATCAGATCCCTTTTTTCCTTTTTGTATATGAGAAGAAAGGAAATGCCCTTGGGTTACTCACCCAGTAACACGGGGCCATCATCAACCCATAGGGTATTGTAGACAATTGGACCCTGTGGCATGGGGACATACCCCTTGCTTTAGAGCCATTACAGCCACTGCCCTTTTGGTTAAGACCACTGAGAAAATCATCATGGGATCCCCTTTAACCATTTTTGTACCTTATGCAGTAGAAGCCCCCTGAATTCTCATCGTACTCAACATTTTTCAACCTGCTGCCTTACCTCCTATGAAATCCTTTTAACTTCGCCTCACAGAACTCTTCTCCACTCAATACCCTTAACCCTGCTACTCTCCTCCCCTCCATGGCTGATGAAGTCACTCATGACTGCCTAACACTGACGGATCCCATCCTGACTCCTGGTGACGAGCTGCAGGAAACTCCTCTGGGTAACACCAACTTTTCATGGTTCACTGCTGGTTCTTATTTAAAAGGTGACAATGGCAAATACTGTGCCAGGTATGCTATTGCAACTCATTCTGATGTCATTGAGGCAGCACCTTTACCTATAGCCACTTCAGACCAGCAGCCTGAATTACATGCTCTTACTTGGGCTCAAGCAAGGGCAAAACTGCCGATATTTATACTGATAGTAGATATGTTTTTGGAGTAGCTTATGATTTCAGAATGTTCTGGAAGCAATGTGGCCTTCTTACTTCCATCAGAAATAAAATTAAAAATGGCCCCTATGTTCAGGAATTATTAGATGCTATGCTTTTACCTGCTGATTTTGCTATTATTAAGATCCTAGGGTATTCTAAACTTGACTCTCTGGAAGCTAAAGGAAATCATCTTGCTGACATTTCTGCAAGGAATGCAGCCCTAAAAGGAATCAACAACAGCCAAACCTCTGTCACCATCCAAAGGGATATTTCCCCAACTGATAACCTAGAAAGACTGGCTAGAGAAGCCCACCGATTGGCCCCCAAAAAGGGAAAACAAGATTGGAAACTCAACAGTTGTTGGTTTGATAGAAAGCTCTGGTTCAGACCAAATAACAACCGAGTCCTACTGAAGACTTTAAAATTCCCACTCGTTGGGGCCGGCTCGGTGGCGCAGCGGTTAAGTTCGCACGTTCTGCTTCTCGCCGGCCCTGGGTTCGCCGGTTTGGATCCCAGGTGCGGATATGGCACTGCTTGGCAAAAGCCATGCTGTGGTGGGTGGCCCATGTATGAAATAGAGGAAGATGGGCATGGATGTTAGCTCAGGGCCAGTCTTCCTCAGCAAAAAGAGGAGGATTGGCGGCAGATGTTAGCTCATGGCTAATCTTCCTCAAAAAAAATAATAAAATAAAATAAAATTCCCACTTGTCACCACTGTACGTGCATTAAACCATTGCTCTACTGACAGAATGACGGCATTCATGAATCAACATTGGTAGGGAAGTATTAACAAGGCTACAAAAAGTGCCTCCCTCTCTTGTCCCACTTGTCCAAGACACAACCCAGGGAGGCGTGTTCCAACTGCTCCCAGACATTTTAAACTAACATTCAAGTTTTGACAAATGGATTTCGTACAACTTCCCCCATCTCATGGATATAAATCAGTTTTAGTCATAGTTGGTGTGTTTTCTCACTAGACTGAAGCCTTTCCTTGCAGACAGGCTACTGCCTCTTCTGTGGTTAAAGTATTTCTGAAAAGGCTTATCCTTACCAGGAGAACTTCTCTCCAACTTTATAGTGATCAAGGCACCCATTTTACTGCTCAGGTACCTGACAAGTCTGGGATGTCTGGCTGGTTTTACAGCACTTTCACTTCACTTATCACCCTCAATCCTCTGGTTCAATCAAACCCACTCATGACATTATTAAGACTCAATTGGCAAAATCTGTAGAGACTCTCCAAATACCTGGCCAAAAGCATTGCTGTTGGTCCTTCTAAATCTCAGATCCACCCCCTTTGGAACTCATAACCTCTCATCCTTTGAGATAGACACCGGACATCCTATGCATTTGGCTCCTGCCTCTTTTGACCCACAGCTGGTGAAAGGACATATACACCAATGTTGAAAAGGCCTAATTGCTCCTGTTCAAAATAACCATCTTTTGGTAGAGCAGTCTTTCACAGTGCGCTCCGCGGAGACGAGGACCTTAAGCATCATCCCTTGCAACCTGGAGATGTCATCTATTGGAAAAGACACCTCCAGAAGGACTCTCTTCAACCTTGCTGGAAAGGCCCCTATCAGGTATTATTAACTAACCCTTGTGCTGCAGAAGTCCAACGAATGGACTCTTGGATTCATGTGACAACCTAAAGAAAGTGCCAAACCCTGACTGGATCCGAACTTCATCTGGTGACCTGAAAGTGAAGATTTCCCAGAATCGAAGCAGGTGACATCCAATGACACAGCTTTCCCAAGGTGTCTGGACCAGGCCTATTAAAAGTTTGTCTGCCAAACCTTTGATGATGACATAACACTTCTGATGATTTCCAATGCCTATGATCTTGATAATAATTGGACTTCAGAAAAGACAAATGCCTGAGAGTTCTCCCTTCTACCCCTCCTTGTTACTCAAACGTGGCCATGATAGTTTTCCAACCTGTGCACTTCCCCTCTGATGTAGGACTCAATACCCAGGAAGGGTCCTTTTTGGCACTGAAGGACAAAAGGCAGGTGGAACCAGAAAACCTGGCTCTTGATCAGCAATGCTTTCAGATAAAGAGCTTGATCAAAAAGGGAAAATGTGGGAATTAGTAAACAGAAACCTCATTAAATTGGAGTCAGGAGGCCAAAAGGGAGCGCTCTCATGCCCTGCGTCAATAGCAGAGCCCAACAGGAAGAAGAAAGTCTTCCTTTTCTCGACCAGCAAGCTCAGCCAATGAGAGACCGTCACAGCTCAGCCAATGAAAAGCCACTTCACCTGGAGCTCTTTGTTGACAGTAGCCCTCCCCACCTCCTCTCCCTCTATATGAAAGAATTTCTCCTCCCTTTGCTGCTGGGAGACATGCACATGGCTCACCATGGTTGCAGACCCTGACTTACAATTCTTTGCTGATCCTGAACAAACCCATTTTTTTCTGGAGAAATAACTGGCTGTCTCTTTGTTTAAGGTCAATACATCCTAGGAGACGCAAGCCAAGAGATTATCAGGCTGCTGTCCCTCCCCTCTACTGAGTACTCAGGTCCTAGAAAGAGAGTGTTATTCAGACAGAAGCTTGCCATTGTCCCTACCCAAGCTCCAGAGCCCTAGCAGAGAGATCATGCCTGAAGGTGGGGGGAAAGCAAGCTGCAAAACAGTCCATAAAAGAATTGGCAAAGAATTAACTTCAGTTATTACATATCATAAGAATGTCAAGCCAAAGGGCACTCCACTCTCAAAGCAGTGGCTGTAGACCTGAAAGATAATTGGCAGATGTGTGGGTTGAATGAAGATAGAACCTAGTTTGTAGACCAGATAATTTGCAGGGGAAAACCAGGGAATAAGGCATAGGAAGAACCCACTAAAGGTCAGAACAAATATCAAACGCAGCCTTCAGACAGTATTCCTGTAAAGGAGGCACAAATACGTTTGGATTAGTTTCTAGGGCAAGTTTGCCCCAGGGCTTTGTTGAAAACAAGAGAGCCATCAGCTACCAGTTAGTCCACTTTACCAACTGGGTGTGACCCAAGAAAGAGAAGAAGACGTTCCTACCACTACCAATGTCCCTGATGACTGTGGACGTAAAGCTGTACACCTCCACCTCCCAAAGGGCACCATTAGAGTCTTGACACTGTCAGGCAGAACCAGACTTCCCTGAAATAACCCAGGCAGTCACTAAACAGCAAAAAACAAGCAAATAACAATAACAAGGCCTGGAGGAGTGGGGTATACCCAGAGGAGGTATAATATATTATAGCAGAGAGCATTCAAAATGGAAGAATTCATGCTAATGACTTGGCACAAGAGTATGGAGTTATGGGCATAACTGGCAACAATCTTAAAAGAACCCCTATGGAACACCCAAAACCACAAAGACCACAGGCACACCAAGAGATACCCGGATGGCAGGACTGCAGACCTGGATGAGATATGGAAGCAACATAAAAGGAAGAAACAAAGAACACTGAGGCCAGCAAGCCATACCCAGGGAGAGGACAACACCCTGCTGTGTGCCTTGCTAACTCCCATGCCTCTCGCTGTCCCCATCGGCTGGACCAATTTCCTGTTCCAACTTGTTGGACTGTGCCAAGGCCCTTGTGGACTTTGGTTCATAACCTCTTGCATATTGAATGCTGTGTTTGGAGTTAATGTGTCCTTAGGATACTCATATGATTTAATGTGTGATGTTGGAGTGAGTCTCTATGAAGAGACACTACGTTGTTACTGCTGTTCCCAGACCTCAGTCACTTGTGACAAGATCCTTTGAATTGACCCTAAGAAATTCTGGCATTGTGGAAAGACACAAAAGTGAATGGACAATCCGTTATTAACCACTCATAACAATTACCTAAAATGTCCAGTTGCAACTAAAATCATGAGAAATACAAAGAAACAGGAAGATATGACTCATACACTGGATGGAAAAGAGCAGGCAACAGAAACGACCTTTAAGAGTAACAGATGTCAGAAAAATACCTCAAAGTAGAAATTATAAATGTATTCACAACTGATAGGAAGCATGATTAAAGGAGGCAAGGAAATGACCTCACAACCATTAGGAATTCTATCA